TTTCTATGATTCCGTAACCTGCTAAATATAATAATAATAATTAGCATCCGGTTGTAATTGTGACATGGCTCAATTCAACAGCCACTGGTGATTCACAGTCTCAATGTTGAAGAGCAGGTTTTTACACCTTGAGAAAATTCACGACACCTGACAGAATATATTTTCCAGGCATCCTTGTGTTCAGTCGCTCCGGGGAGCAAGTATCTGAAGCTGCCATTTGATGACTGCCTCTTCGCGAGCTCCAGAATTGTGCCGAGGTCATACGGATTCCACTCTGCACTGGCTTCCATCCAGGCTTTGGCAAGGTGAGTTCTTACAATCTCCATAGCCTATCTGCCACCTGTTTCGTTTTTTTCTGCAGAACCTTGCAAGACCAATTTTACAAAATAAAGGAAAATTATTAAATATTTAAGCAGAATATAAAGCCAACTAGCTCAAAACAGTGCTATTAATAATATTTATAAAATTAACGTTGGCCACACTATTGATATTGCCTAGAACTATAGAGGGGTTATTCCCTAAGTAACTAGCCTTACCCTCAAAGAACGCCATCATGGTATGACCTCCATTTACGTTATCAACCGCAGCTGTTTGCAAAATCGACAAACCATGCTGTTGATAATGCTTCAGGTGGTAATCTCAGGGCAGAAGCTGTGCTGTGTGACAACAGGCCCGTAGCCAAAGGGGGCGAGCCCCCCTCCAAACAAATTTTTTTGTTGTTGAAAATTTGCAAGAATTTCACCTCAGGTCGCTGCGCATTTTAGTGTAATAATTGCAAAAATCGTTCAATCGTGCGGAGGGTGAACAGTGGACACCGCCTCTACCCCGCACCCCCACTCGCGTCGCTTGGCTCCCTCGCCTGTCGCTCTGGCGCCGACGCAGGGCGTGTAAACAGGTTGGGGCTCCCAGGGAGTCCGACCCCCCTTGCTCGCGCAGAAACGCATCTGAGGATGGGTGTAATTTTAAAAATTTTCCCCCCAGGGGGAAAAAAAACCCGCCCCCCCCCACCCCCCTTTCGCTGTGCTCGCAACCTTTGGGTTTAGCGTTAGAACCCCCCTGTACAAATCCTGTACACGCCTCTGCCGAGCAAATTGCCAACATTGAAAAACTAACGGCCCCCCCCCAATATAAAGCTGGCTACGGGCCTGTGACAAGATCTAAAAATGACATAAAATTTTATTTTACTGCATACTAGATTTTATCTTAAATTGTCATGCTGTGCAGTGATTATTGAAAGATAAATACATTCCAATGCACACATGCCTATCCCTTCGTGCAAAAGAATACCTGAACTGCCAGTGACACTTTCATCTTCTGATAGGAGCCTGGGGTGATGTGGGCCTGAGTCAACTTCGGTGCTAATTTTAGCTCCTTATCTTCCTGGTAGAAGACCAGATCCCGCACATATCTGAATGACACTTAACCAAATAATATTTTATTTAAATTTAATTTATGTATGTATATGACTTATCATTAACGTTATTAACCCATTATTTTGTTAAGTTTCAAATATTTTAATTATTTATAGATAAAAATCGGAACAACATGGAAGGAACTGGTACCCGGTTGGAAGGGAGATTGTGGTCCGTGACGATATAATGTGGCAGGTAAATGTCTTGGGTAGCAAAGGCAGACCTCAAATCTTTGATCAGATGAGGCGCATCAGCCACAAAGAAGAGGTTCTGTTCAGGATTGACAGGATGTGTGATTTTGTTTATGAGTATGTTGCTGAAAGTAAAGGTACATAAGCAAATGAATGTGTCAAACCTTTAACAATGATATGCAAGTAAAAATGTGTGAGGTGTTTTATGCATGTGCATGTATATGTTAGTAGCATATGTACCCTGCATATGTACCTGGTTGAGGACACACCAGCAGCCTTCCACATTGCCTGGTTATCAGGACCCATGTCACTGATGATTACTTTAACAGTTATCCCATTTTCAGAAAGAAGATCCACTATTCTGCATGAAATGCTCCACATGATGTTGCCAGGAACTGATCCATCGGTGAAGTAGTAAGAGAGATACAACACAATAAGAACAAGTTTATGACCCGATTATCACGTCTTAATCATGACCTCACAGGCTCACCACATGTGGAAATCTGTAAGGGCAACTCCACTTTCTTGTAAATAATTAAAATTTTGTTGTCACTTTTATGGTGATAATTATATTTATAGAAATTTCCCAAATGGCTTCAAACATGTCCGTCAAATTAGTCACGTGTTATATTATCATAAAACTTACCGACCACCTGTTTCCATTTAGTGGAAAGTCCCTTTAGCAAGTAACACAATGCATGGCTCGCAGGCCTATCCTTCTTTGCGTCTTTACAGAGGACTGCAAGTCAAAGTATTAAAATGTATAGCCTATATATTATTTGGGATGTAAAACATTGCTAAATAATCGACTTCGTGTACGATGGCGAAGGTTGCAACTCACGTTGTCAAATTCCAGAGCTTGTTCAAGCTACATTTCATCTAATGCTAGACTCGTAACACGCTCCTCGGGCTTCATTGATTTCATTTTTTCACCCAACCACTGTATGATTGTGGTCTGGTGTGCGGTAGGATGGAAGTTAGTGGTAGATTACAAGTCTGACGCAGATAGTCATAGCCACTTCTCCCTACTGCGCACCGGATTTGCATTGATTTTTTTATGGTCGATGAGCTCCAGCGAACGTTTGCTGATTCCTATGAAAAAAAAGAAAGAAAAGTTATTGGGGTCATAAACAAAACATAATTATAGCTATAGAAATCTCTCTTAGACATTGAAGGCCCCGATTGTTAGACGCCGAAATGTTTCAGGTGTTGAAAAACAAAAATGATTGTCCTTAGACTTTGAAGTGCCTGGTTACTTTTGGGAAGTTTAATTTAAACAAGTATACATATGCCTTACCTTAGGCAACTCCAGGGCAGCCTGCAGGGGATCCTGTGTTAAAATGCCTTCAACACTCTGTTTTACAGTTTTCAGTTTTCTTTTAAGACACAGGTTCTGTAAGTATATACATAGAAATAA